CTTCTTAACCCTTAAAACGGGGTGCCTTGCTAATTTTAAAACCCTTGGAACTGCCCTTGTAATCGTTTGTTTAAGTATTCGTATTAATTATCATAGTTGTAGTTGGCAAGATGATTAATATTCACGATGAATTTTTTGCATAAGTTTTGTCTGTTCATAATTGTGATCCCAGAGTATTGAGGATACTCGCATGGATTTACTTTAAGGACGATTTAGACGACACTGCAACTTTACTTTTGCTTATAACCATCGCATGCAACCTGCGTAAGTCATCCTTACGACATGGCTACCCTGTCGTAGGGTTATCAAATGACAGTTGTAGTCATGTCGTAAGGATGACTTACGCAGGTCGCAAGCGATAGTTGTAGGGAAAAGTTGTATCGTCTAAATCGACCTTTATAGATTTGGCTTATATTGATGTTGATAGATCTATTTCATCATAATTAAGCCTGGTTTTTGTGGCATTTTAAAGGAAAAGATGGGCGTGATGGTATACCAGGAAAAGATGGCGCCGTCGGTTCACCAGGCTCACCAGGTCCAAGAGGTAACATGAAATGCTAAACCTTCATTTTAACTTAATTGTTCATTGAACACTAAAAAAATCAAAAAATCAACAACAAAAAAAAAATCATGTAACTCTATCCGATGCTTTCAGGACGAGATGGTCGTGATGGCCAACATGGCTCCTCAGGAACACGAGGTAATATCCTTTTCAGAAACTAGTTGATGACAGGGAACGGGTTTTTAACGTTTATATTTGTACCTATAGCTCCCATATTTCCTTTGATATTTTAAATGCTGCAGCTTAGCAGTCGTTTTAACAGTAACGCAGTCTTGTTCAAAAGGTATATACAAAGTATATATTCGACTAAATTGTATCAAATTGTTGTTATGTTCAGGTAGTCCTGGTTTGCAAGGTCCACGTGGTGCTCAGGGACTAAGGGGTCTTCCTGGTCCCAAAAGTGGCGGTGTTCAGTACATTCGCTGGGGGAGGACTTCGTGTCCTTCTGGTGCTAATCTCGTCTACAAAGGTAGATTTCAGAATGAATCACGTGGTCGTGACAGTTATGTGGTAGATGTGTAGATTCTTGTTCTTTAGTCTGAGTGTTGATCATTACAATCATATCGAAAAAAGATTGAAAAAGACATTTAGAGTTATCACATAACAGTATAACAGAGAGTTGTAATCTCATGAATCGGATTTCATCCTGTTTCATGTAGCTGTATATCTCATATTTCACAGAAATTACGAATTCAAGGGCTATTCAAGGGCTATTCAAGAATTCAAGAGTCGAACCCTTGATCATCAATAACTTTGTCATAAGAAGAAAAGTATTCTAAGACTTTCTAAGAGTCAAGATTGTATTTTATTTGACTATACAGTCAACAGTCATATTCAATAATTAGAGTCAAAAATCGTTGCTACATACTGATAATTTTCTTATTCTCTACGTTGTTGTGTAGGTCGTGTAGGGGGAGAGCACTACAGCCATCCCGGTGGGGGTTCCAACTATGTATGCCTGACAGAGTCCCCAAAGTACGCGAGCTACAACGATGCATATCAAAAGTATTCAGCGTACATGTATGGTTCTGAGTATCAAACTAAGGAAAGCTACAATCCATTTTCACCCAACCCTCACGATCACGATGTCCCTTGTGCTGTATGCTTTGTTCCAAACCGCAATGCTAAAATGATGATCCCGGCAACATACGAGTGTCCCGCGGGATGGTCCAAAGAGTACTGGGGATACCTTATGTCATCGGAGTACCGTCACAATAGCCAGAAAGATTTCATTTGCGTCGACAAAGATCCAGAAGTCATCAAAGGATCGGTTCACAACCACAATGGTGCATTGTTGTACACCGTTGAAGGAAGGTGTGGCTCTCTGCCTTGTCTTCCTTACGTGGAAGGACGGGAACTGACATGCGCAGTCTGTACCAAGTAAAATTGGAGCATGCGCAAAATGAACCAAGTGTTACGGTCGCATGAGCAATAATATCTTGACCAATCCTATTCAAATAAAAATATGTAGTTAATTGAA